CGTACAATGTTAGCGGCTAAACCATTCAGCGATTTGCTCCAAAATTGATATTTTTCAATCGATCTAGCTGATGTCGCGGTCCCATGAATTTGAAACATATTTCAATTTTGGGGTTCTTCACATGATGCCTGGGTAACATTTTCAAAATTTTCAGACACTGGCTCTATCGTTTTTGATTATTTTTTTGAAGGACGTTTAAAAGAATGATGCTGGTCTAATGTTCGTTGAAAACCTTGATTTTTCGAAAATTGAAAAAAGTTAGAATCGTTTTCTTTGATGTTGCGGCCCCTTGAATTTGAAACCGATATTTTAATTAATGAAGCCCCTTGGATATTTTTGAAAATTTTTAAAAAAAGTACAATTGTTCTTGATTAAATTGTGTTCTTTGATAGTTTAAAAAACGTTTAAGAGAATGTCTCAGGTCTCATGTTTGTTAAAAAACTTTAATTTTTCGAAAATTGCAAAACTTAAAAAAACTTCGGTGACTTTCTACAATTATAGTGATGAAGATAGATATTTTCCCTTAATGAAATCTATTCCTTATAGAAATAATGTGATTTACAATTTTCGAAAATTTGAATACATTTAGTGTAAATTTGCGTCAAAATACCAGCGAGTATGTACGTGCTCTTTTAGCACCACTATTTCTTTTTACTGTTGTATGAACACTTATGTAATGCTGGGCGAAAAATATCTCTCAAGCCGTTAATATGCACATTTCCAGTAATTTGTAAACACTACTGTATTTGTGAGTTATTGTGCTTCAAATGAATTTGAATAAAGTTTTTCAAAAACTCAAAAATGTTCTGTTAAAAAGAGCTTTAATTTTCGAATTTACAGTAGAGCTTAATAGTCACTTTCTTAAAAACGGCTACAAATTGTTCGAAGGAAATTGCCATTTAGGACGAGGTTTACTTCTCTTTAATATTCTTAAAATAATATTCCAAAAAAATGTACTTTGGACGGTGATAGATGGCAGCTTGCAAGAATATGTGGGAAGATCTTATAGCTAACCGATACCAAAGAAAACATTAAACTAATACGGGAAAGCATATGTCATTCTGTAGCACCACTATTTCAACAATTTATAATTGACATGTATGTTAAAGTCGAATGAGAACGACTCAATTACATACGTTATTATCAAACCAAGGAGCATCCAATAAAGGCACATACCCTATTTTCTATGATACAAAAATAATACAAGTGTATTTTGTAACTGGAAACCTTTATGAAAACAAATACTTTAAAAGATTTCTAATGAAGTAACAAAATTTCAAAAGTTTTCATGTAAAAATAGCTAAAAATTACGCATTTTCAGACATGATCAAACTATTTTTTTGAGGAATGGCTCCACATTTCTCCCCAGAAAAATTCTGCATGAGAAAAAGGTTTTGCTATTATTTTATATTCTCAATATCACATTTTACTTTAAGTAGAACTAACAGAATCTTGAAAAAATGAGACAACAAAAACGTGCGTGCTTTTCGATAAAACATAATTTCGTTAATATTACAGTAAATAATACTAAGTCATTGTATCTATGTAAGCGTATGTAAATATATTTTTACAAATATTTTCGTTAATATTATTTCATAAATGACACCATCTTGTTACGGTCAGTCCTAATAGTTACGTTCTTCATACTCTACTGAAAGTAGGAGGATATATCTCAACAACATTTTTGAAACGAATCGATCAGATGTATTTTACGATTAAACAAACATAGATTGGTACAATTAAAAAAAAATCCTTATAATCTTTGTTTCCAATCATCCATTTCAAAATTGAGCATTCTTCTAGAGGTTATCTTTGCAACTGCCCTCGTGTTCACTGTCGGGAAAAGCGGTAGCCAATCGCTGCGTCCGGCCTCCGTGCCCTGCTCATCGCATTATACTCTTATAGCGATATATACTCTTTGGTGGTGAGAGGTAATTTGTGGTTCGGGAACAATGTGCAGGTTGCGGTGAGGTTTTTGGTCTGTTTGGTCATTGTTCTCGAAGTGCCTTTGTGAACGTTGTTAGATTTGGTTAGATTCTTTTTAATGTAAAATAATTTCTCTATCAAATGTGTGTGGCGTGTAATTAGATCTAAAAAAGTTATTCGGAGTAATTCCAAGCCGATTAATATTTGTGCAAAGTGCGTGTGGATGAAGAGATCAATAGCAAATTGATTTATTTAATAAATCCCGTAAAGTGTCGCGTGAAATGTTGAGTAGCATTGAAACAGATCTGTGAGAGTTATTTTAGGAAATAGTGTTAGGTAGGAATACGTTTCCTGAAATACATTTTATAGATTGTGTTGTGAAGTGAAAGGTAAGTTCCAAAAATTGCGAAAATATTGCGTGGTGCGCGAGTGTTCACGCTCAAAATTGAGCAGGATGTGATTTGAAGAAACGGTTTTTTGGAAAAAAAGGTTGTGAAACTTCAGGAGTGTTGTGGCGTACTTGTGATTCGAAGCGGGACTTCACATCACTGTGGCCTTAGATTTCCACGACGCTGTTTCTTCTCGACGTTCCTAAATATTCCTTGTTCCTGCCAGGTGGTTAGAAAATTTTAAAATCTGAAATGCGTAGTTGTAAAACTTCTAATGTAGAATAATCATAAGCGAAAGTAAAAAATGCAGATGAACTTTCCAGTCTTATTTTCAAATACGTAATGGAACTGCACTGAACAAAATAGAAAGCTAATCAATAGGACAAATATCGTTTGAAGATTGAAATTGCGTATTTATCATGCTTTCAAGTAAATTGAATATTATAATAGTTACGGAATTGAGAATTTTAGAAGACGTTGGCAGTGTAGTTTGAAATTAAGAAATTCTCTAAGAAATATAGATTGGCGAACTGAGAAGGTAGAGCATTTAATAGATTCAATATATTAGGATATTAAAAAATAGATATTTAATTATGAACAATGCGTATTTTAATCTTCAAGAATTTTGAAGAGAAAATCTGGTGAATAGTTCACAGCTAGCACAGAATAAAGCAGGTTCCAATCCTCAGGGCAGGGTAGCATAGAACCCCCGCTTTGTCCTGACGCCGGTGGAGCCTGGAATCGGTGAGTGTTCTGGGTGGAGCCCGTCCCGTGCCCTTTCCTACGCCCCATGCCCTTCGCAGCGTCCGTGGCAGCTCTAAGGGGGGGGGGCCAGGCCGTTTGCGTTCCTTCTCCCAGCTGCACGACGGATGACAGGCCTAGCCACACGCAAACAAACCTAGCACGAAAATGATGCAGAGAAAGGAGAACAGTGAATATAAAGATGGAAGTGAAATGATCACTACACATGAAAGCAGAGTAGAAGTTTCCCCACATGCACTCATTTGTTGTAGATTGGGAGGGATAATTCTTCCTCGTGCAGTTATTGGCTCCACTTAGATAATTTTAGGAAAATAATGGTCCGCCTTTAGTTTAATATATTCCTGGGTTACTGCAGCCTTTTATATTAAAATTAACTTCACTTAAATTTAAATTTACTCTTAACATTGGATAATTGATTGAAACATTGAAATTACAGTTTATTAAGCTATCTCCATTAATTACAATATTTTTAATTTAAATATCATTTAATGTCATTGATGTAAGCATATTAATTTCATTTAAAATGAAATTACTTCAACTGTATAAAATGTTGCTTTCAATATAGAATGATTACCTTGTTAAAGATTAGGATGGGCAAATGTAGGAAGGAGGCTGCAGAGCCCGTTTAGCTTGTAGTATTAAGGCGGTTTGCTTAGCCATATTATCTCACACCTGCGTTGGATTACCGCCATTGTACGTGGCATGCATTCCGTCAAAGATTAACGGGGACCTTGCGTGGGTGGAAAATACATTGACCTGCGAAATGCCATTGCACTCGCAATTTGCATCGATCTGAATGGCAGGTGACCTCCCTCTGGACTGTAGGCTAGGCCGTCGTTCTGCAGGGAAGGTCACTGTGCCCAACTGTCAATTCAGGAGGGACACGCTTACAGGGCAGGGTGGGTAGGTTAAGTGCCAGGGTAGTATTCCAATTCGATTTTTGTATTACAACTTTCAAATGTTTGCAACGTTTCAATAAACATTTACTTGCGATATGAAAGATATTTAAAACGCGCAACAAAGAATTGGAATACTCCTTCCTATCTGAAGGAAAACTGAATGTCTGCACATGTTTCAGTCGATCTTCAGAGGGAAACTTAAGTTGGCGGACAGCACATGTTACAGGGTGGGAATTTTCGAAACGGCTGGTAAGCTTTTCAACATGTACATTAAATATAAAGAAATTGACTTCTTTCTTACAGGATCTAAGTCCGCGTGAAACGTGGCAAAATTCAAATTGTATAGTCCATGTATATACTTAGCAAAATACCTAAATTTAAAGGAATGTAGAAGAACTCTTTTTCCGAGAAACTTTTAACGAAGATCTAGTAAATACTATACATAAGCCTACCAAATAAGTCAATAAATTGCATTATAACTGCACTAATTATGCTTTCTTTCAGCTCTTTAATTCTTTCAGCACCAATTCTCCTTTATTTCAACTCTTCAATGTTTTTTTCTTTCAGGGCTAATTCCGCTTTCTTTCAGCACTAATTTATTTCCAAACATTACAGTAAAATAACTAAGAAATTAGGACAAATGCGATAAAGTAAAACGAAGATTAAATTTACATCAAAATTATTTCCTTACTACTGCGCTGGCGAATAATTCATCAATACAGGATTTACAGAGTTAGTTTTACCTCTGTAGAACCATGTATGGATTATGTGAAGAACGGATGTCTGCGCCCATATTTTTTTGTTTCAGGAACTCTTTTAATGTGATCAACAGATGTAATCATCTTATTGGACCAGGAAACAGTAGGTCTAAAATCAATTATGGATTGATACGAAAAAAATACGAAATTTGTCTACTATCTCAGGTTTCAGCCAGGAATACGAAAACTTTATGTTCGTGATATTACAAAACAATCGCATTTTTTATGTGAATTGTCATATAAAATTCTAAAATTTAGTAAATTACATTGAGGAAAAGGGGTCTGGGGTCGTAAGAAAAGTAAAAACTGAAAATTCAAAATTTGAAATTAAAATTAATATCCGAAATAAACTAATTGATCTTTCCTATAGGCTCTTTTCTATAGGCTCGCAAAACGGTCAAAGAAAACATACATTTTTCAGAAAATTTTAAAAATATAACATGAAATATTCATCTCCATTGCCATATCATCAATCATTCATCAATATTGATCATAAATACGAATTCTCTTTATATCCTTTGTTAAAAAGTAATAAATTAAGACGCATTTCGAGCTCTAAACATAGGTTTTTCGGCGCTATTTATCTAAAAAAAATTTGTATGTACTACTGATGCCGGATACTTCGTCAATAAAGAAAGTAATACATATTGTAGACCGCAATATTTCTCGATAAGTTAGTCACACTTGTCGGAGCACTTTTCATAAGCAATTATCAAAATTAAAATTAATATTTTATTCATGTTTACGTTCTTTTAAATGGTAATGTTTTCATGTGGCGTTCGCTTTCTAAATTAGTACTCACATCAACCACGCACGGTTATTCAGAAGATATTTACTTTGGGTGTTGTTAGTGGTTAATTTGTCTAAGCCGAGTGATAACTATATTAATTTTAATTATTGCTGATGCATCAGATGAATATGTAATACTTTCCAAAATTCGTGATGTGCAAGAGTTATATGTATTGTAGTATTTACGAATCTGCTACACTAATGTGAATGTAGGCTAATTATTAGTTTTATTTGGAAAATAATAGATTTAATTTTCATTTAACGATAGTGCAGAATGTAATTTCCTTACGTTTTCCAAAAACAGATTCAGGAGCGCAATTAATTTGTAATGATTGAAAAATCTTCTGGTTTTCCACACAGATAAGTACAGGCTATAATCTAAGATTCGTATTCTAGGAATATAGTTATAATTGACTTAAGACCTGTTAAAAAAATATATATATATCAAGAATCACCTGGACATAAGCCATATATAACAATGTTCAGGACACACAACACTTGCCTACGAAAGTTCATTCAAACTACATGAAAGAGTGAAATACCTGGATAGAAATTACCAGGATTCAAAATGTTAGCAAGGCCTACCTCTGCAGGAGAACCTTGACATTCACTATACTAGTGAGGTTAACCTTTGCACAATCATTGATAAATTTCCATACCCGACTACCGAGAAGATTCAAGACATTGGGCTCTACTGAAATGACGAAGAAAATTAATAAAACAGTTACTTAGTTAAAACCTATTTTACTCAAATGCTTATGTAACATTAGCTTAATGTTGGTTTTGAGACGCTGGAATTGTAAACTAGGAAAAGTCAACTTCTGAAAATACAGTGAATTTGTATAGTAAAACTTTAAGGAAGAACGATAATCACAAAATTCTGAAGAAAATAAAACATTCCCTTAAGCATTGAAACTCATCTTCAATATAAACCTCTTGAATTTATGTTCTATTTTTCTTTTAGAAGACAAGGAAACTGAAACACATGAAACTAGAATTATTAGAATCAAATATATATAATAAGACATAAAAAGGAAGCAATTAGTAGCAAAAATTTACAAGAATTTATATTGCGTTCATTCTAAAATAAAGGAATCGGAAGAGTCACATAGTATTGAATTCTCACTAAAGGCAGCTGCAAGAGTGCGGTAACCTTTCGCAGATCTTCACTCGGTAAGATTCCGTAACTCGAATGTTTGTTGTAAATCGAATGTATTCCGTAACTCGAATGTTTGCACGTTTTCTCCTGCAAACGTATCGAAGCAGGATTATTTTCGGGAACTATCTGAACATTTACAAACTCAAAGAAGTTACAAAATTAAGGACGTATTTATTATTAAAAGATGCATTATTTTAGTGTCATTAACACACGCTATTTAGAACTTGCTATATATTGTCATCGCTTTCCTGAAGAGTTGTGCTGTTAAAGTGAAAAATTGAATAAAGAAGAAAAGTGATGTGCAGTGCAGTGCGATTATAAAATCCTCCATCACATTTTATAACATACGTATAGAATAACCGTAAAAATAATTTTTTGAGTCTTATGTTGTCATAATTTCATTGCAATATAAAATTAGTGTTCTTCCACAAAGTTGCTAATATCCTCTAATGCAAAATTTTCTTAGTATCTCTTGTAGAATTGGGGATACATTGCTGATGAACTTCTACAAATTCTAAAATGAAATTAATACTTCAATGTAATTAGCATTCTTTTCCATAAACATTTTTAGTTAAAATCTGATACACCTTGGAAGAAGATAGCTTGTGGAACGCTAGACTGTTAACCATCAGATTAAATCTCAAGTGTTAATACTTTCTTTCAGGAAGATTAACTTTCTCATTTTACTTTCAGGAAACGGACTAATGTTCGTTCATACAGATGGTGACACCAAAATTACCTGAAATCACCCCCAAACTGCATGTCAGCAGATAGAGCATGCATGAATACGGCATCAAAAGTGCTTTCGTAGCATGGAATGTGGGGAAATTGAAATAGTGGAAGTATATAACAAATCGTATGTTTTTTCGGTGACGGTGACAGTGGTAGTGGTATGCTGTAGTCATAGTGGGTAACGTAATATAAAAATATTATGTAAAGAATGTAAAAGTCCCAAAATAAACCTAGGGACAGAAAATTCGAATTTTTGAAAATCTCAAAAGGAGAAAATGAAATGCAAAGGACACGAAAAAGGAATACTCCCTTATTATGAAGGTAATATGTAGAACAATACTTCTGAATGCGAGGATGAAATGGTTTGTTAAATTATTGTAAAATACAAATGTATATTTGCAGTTTTTCATGAAAGGTTCGTGCCATGTGGTACAAGAGCACTTCGATTCCAGGTCCAAGTTAAGAGGTGAAGGGAGAACTATTGCATGGCATCAGGAGAGCAGAGAATGGTTTTCATCGACGACTAAAGCGCCCTCGCCCGGATCTGCAGTGCAGCCTCCCTGCATCGAATAACTAACACGGCCCTGAAACCTTTCCTAAAGCAACAAGTCGAGAGGAAAGGAGCTGGCTAGCGGAAGTTTTCCCATGTAAAGTTCCACGACCCTTCAAACGTCACCTTGAAGAAATTTGTAAAGGTCATGTCGTTGAAATGGTCGGTACTCTAAAACGAGTCATTGAAATTAACTCGGCGACTGTTAAAAGTCGAAAATGAAATTAGAAATCGCAAAGAAAAAATAATTTAATTATTATTTGACGGTTCCATCGGAGGCGAGCTTGCCACGTAATGATTTCATATACCTGTACGACTGTTTAAATAATCTTAGGTATTATAGTTTTTTTTTCCATCGGTTATGGCTGACAGAAAAACACCCCCCGTTACTACAAAGAAACGTTATAAGTGGAGTTCGCTGCCGAATATATTTTGAACGTTTGACGCACTATCACTATTTTATAATTATAAAAACTAGCAGTAAATTCCGATATTTACTTGTATTTGAAATTAAAGAAAGGTGTTAGATTGTTTTAGTGTCAGATCAGTCAATGAACGCTTTATTATTATTATTATTATTATTATTATTATTATTATTATTATTATTATTGACGAAAATTAGGCACAGTTCCGATAGAAAACGTGTGAGGTGGGTCATGAAAATGGAATTAAGAAATGTCCGTTGTCCAGTTTGAAGATGGTGAAGAGTATTCGAGGTGTCCTTGTGATTGCAATAGCAGAATGCCTATAAAACTGCAAAATGCATCGGAATAACCAGCGACTCATAAAAGGATGTATCATTCCAATCGATGTACTTTGAGAGTACGAATATAAAAAAATATATTCGAAGTATTAAACGTATTTTTTCTGATAGATTTAAAAGCAATGGCAAGGACATAAAGTTTGACGGAATTTGTCAAATCTTTGCAGTTAAAATAATCGACTTGTTCTAAATTATTTAAAAAATAACTAATCGGTTAATATATATTGCGTATGTGATTATATTGTTTAAGAATATTAATTAAATGTTTCAGAACCACAGGGATTGCAATAAGCTGCTACATACTCGTACTACCATCCTGAAGTGAATTAAGGAAGTCTTAAAAGGCCTCAACAGCAGACCAATATGAGCTGGAGGGCTCGGCGTAATATGGTCGTGGGCTGATCCTATTTACCGTGTTACCTGCTGCATTTCATGAATGTGTGGGATAGAAACGGTGAAATGGTATAGTGGCAGCGTTTCTCATCAGTAGACTACAGAAATAGGGCTGACGTGTTCAAGTTGTAAAGGAATGACTCTTGTAAACATGCCAAACTATTAAACTTGTACGTCGCGTCCAGTCTCACTTGGTGAAGACTCTTATAAAATGCAGATCTTTGAGCTCTAAATTTGTTTCAGGGAAAATGTCGCAGCAGCAGCATCATCTTGGAATGCTATAAAAATTGTGCTAAGGAAATTTTGTTAAATAGATTAAATGTATTAGTATTGGTATGAAGCACATGTTTTAACATTGTATAAAAGTTCATGGCATTTTTTCAATATGCCAAACTTCATTTTTAACACAAACGTTTTGGGGACTAAAGATTGTTGAAAATGTTATTTTGATAACTTTACGAATACTCTGCGTTACGAAACCCGACCATATTACGCAGAGCCCTCCAGCTCGTATTTGGTTTGCTGTTAAGAAATTTGGAACTACTCTAAACTAATACTGGTGCACCCGTTTTAATTTTTAGATTTGTTTCAAAATGCAAGAATTGAAACTTTTGAATTTTGTGATATTAAATTTTCTGAGCATTTCTAATTTGTTCAATATTGTAATTATAACATTGTAAAAGAGTGAATTATAATTAACTAAAACTAATTTTGTTCTGTAAGACCTCCGATAAGATAATCTGAGATATCACACCATGTGTAAATATTACGAATCTCTGGAAAGAAATGTAAGTTATTTCAAAGTAATAATTGGAAGTGTATCTGATGTTTGAAAAGTGAGACTATGTGAGCAAAGTTTTAATGTCCACAAAATGAACCCTTTATATTTGTCGATGAGAAAGAAAATATTCATCACTCCTAGAAAATTGCTCAATAATGTAATTTGATATTATTCTTACCATTATTTAAATTATTATATTTGAATTAATATCACCCATGGATTAATGCTTCATTTTATATTTTCATTTCCACAAATTTGTTGGAAGAAGTAGGGGATGTAAGTTCAACTTACGTAAAATTTAGACTTCCTTCCAGAGCATCCCATACATCACCGATGAAGCCTCTGACTCTTGTATCTTGTCCTAACCATTTCACCAACGTAAATGGAGGATTCTGTGAAGAAAGCAAAGGATCCTTAGTATATATTCAAAACTTCTAAGCACCAACGATTCTTTCGTGCTAACAAATGAACTAATACACTAGACTACATTAGAAGTTGTGTAGGGGCAAGGCATATTTAGATGAAGGAAATATTATTCATTGTCTTTGTAGGTCAATACACGAGGGAGCCCAATGTGATGTATTGGATGTTAGTTTGTTGCTATCGCATAGTATTCTCAATGAAACAGTTTCAGGTGACAGCCGATTTACCACAGACCGGTTGGGATGGCTCAAAGTGAAAACTTTTGCCGTTCCATTTTTTTTATTGAAAAGTTCTGGAGTTTCAATCCCGACGATGTGTATTTTCGAGACTAGCTATGTGTAAATGCTGAATTGCTTATTTGGGGTACAACCTAGCGGCCATCTGCTCTGATCAGTAGTTTTCCGTGTTTTCTCCGATAATATCACGCGAATGCTGGAGCAGTACCCTGAAAAACAGGCCACGAACCGCATGCCAAGTTTCCTTCCTCTTCCTTTTCTCCCCTCTCTCTCTCTCTCTCTCGCTCATACACACGTTTTGCATGCACAAAACCAGACATGAACCACACCGCACATGTCGGGAGCATGTCAAGAGCTTGTGGCTTGTCCCGGTTGGAGACGTGTGGGGAGCGACTCTCCCCAAACCGACTTTTACACAAACGTCGGATTTCACGCCCTATAGGGGGAGGAACACTGGCACCACCCTGTATATAAATTGCACCACATTTACGAGACTACTGACCAAAGCAGTTGTCGCGCTCAGGAGTAGAACATAATTAAACAGTAGACACAATCCCAGCTTCCGAGCCACGCTTTTATTTGCGCTTGCGAACCAGGGTTGGGAAGCGGGCTTGGGAAGCGGGCTTGGGAAGCGGGCTTGGGAAGCGGGCTTGGGAAGCGGGCTTG